TGTCAATTTTGGTCGTCTTTTACTACTGTTGTATGGGTAATTTTGGATTCAAGTGATATGCGTAGTGTGTAGTGTTGTTTGTGGTCCATTAAGATCCAATATGTCTGTTCAAAAGTTGATGATTTTTTTGACAGCTTTAAGTTACTTAATATTACTGTGAAATGTATTCTTTCACCAATCAGGCTAGGATGTGAGCTATTGTGGAGTGTCAAATGTAGTTCAGTGCATATAGTTGGGGTTAGGGATAGTTTTTACAAGAGTGATTTCATTGTTCCAAGTCTATTATTACAAAGAATGTTATAAGAATTGATACATATCTTGTGTAAAAGTTTGGAATACTGTGCATCTCTTGTGTTGTTTTCTTTCAATATGTTCTTAATTAAACCTGCAACAGACTAAATTGTCACAAAGTGATTCATATAAATATGTTTTGAAAAGAGTTAAAGTGCATTTTTTCTGCATTTATCAATTTAAATACTTCATATGTGAACATTCTCCATTTGGCGGAATGACAATAATATTTGGGAGTATCATGGCACAAACATTTGTTAGCCAGTGTTTGAGAAGTGATAATATTTGTATATGTTAATCACCATGAAATAATTATAAACGTCATTGGCAACAATAGTTTTATAATAAGAGAAGCTTCCGATGGCTTAGCCATCATCATCAGTTGTCTGCTGAATGGAAGCCACAAAACGATTACGCTACGTGGCTATTAAATACTATTGTTGGCAATGACAACGTTTATAATTATTTCATGAAAAAGGCCAACGATAACTCACACAACACCTATATGTTAATCACCATTAATGTCCCTAAATTTATTGGCATCAGTGTTAAAAAAAGTCATGACTGAATGGACAATATTGAAAATCATTTCTTAATAATTAAAATCAATTGAATATCTAATAGGAAATACTATGTAATTCTGAGTGTATGATGTGATATTGTGTGTATTGAGCAACTTACTGTGGTTTTGGGCAATTAATATATTGTCAGAAAGCAAATTTTACAAGTCTAAAAAGTATTTTGGATAAATCGATTTGAAGTAGATTCTATTAAATCTACTCGATATCTTTTCCCACATAGGGCAATAAATCTCTTCTTCTAACACATAAGATGGATTTTTTCCTGAATATCAAGCTGCAGACTCAAATATTTTCTGATCAAAAGAATAGTAGAATCTGCCTTGGCAATGTAAATATAGTTCACAAGACAAACAGTTAGGAAGACTTTTTATACAAAGAAACAACACTAGTTATAGTTTCACTTGTATACACGTAAAATGTACCAAATTGAAGGTGTTTGTTACTCATATAAAAAGTCTTCCTAACTGTTTGTGTTGTGAACTATATACATAGCTCTTTGTACAATAGTTTGGGATTGTTACCAGGAAATTTACTCTATTTTCTAACATATTTCTTCACAACTGCTAAATGACGATTTAAAGAATTCTTTTATGAATGATATAATCTTAATACTTAATTTTTTCAAGAAATTGGTTGCCCTGGCCAGGATTCGAAACTGGGCCTTATGGTTTACGCCCAGATTCTGTGACCACTGAGGTACCGAGACAACTAATACAGTTTTTGGTGTGTGATTATCGCTCCTTATATATATATAATTGTCACCATACCATTTGCATCCAAGAAGGTGGACGGGAAGGGTGAAAATTACATATAGATATAATTTTAAGTAGGTATTTGTATGTTACATTTGGTTATATTTGTATTGTTTAGCTGCAGTGAAATTGTGTAATATTAGTGTGGCACATGATGATTCACCAGAATTTATTTATTTTACATAACATGATTGTCTTCATGCATATTGTTTTTTTTGTAAATGTGTATTTATGTATTTTGCAAATAAAAATTATTTATATGAAATATTTTCACTTGCATCTTTTACAATTTATTTTACAACATACCTCACAATTATAAATCCTTTCAGACTGACCGGACTTCTACATTATCTTACGCATTAATTTCACGTAAAATAAATTCTTTAATTACCTGCCGTATTGAAAATTGGTAGATAAAGAAATTTCAAATGCCCCGGGTAACGTCTGCCCTCCATTTCAATTGGTAGATCGCCTTCGCACGCTTATGGCTGGCGAGGGCCATTAATGGATACTTCATTCTGATTCGTTGCTTCCGTCGGGTGCGGGAGGTCGGTCCC